ATTCAATACATGCATGCAGCGTGTGCCAATCAAATGGAAATTAGCTGTTTCCATTCATTAGAACAATGGCTGTGGAGCACATGTTCTCTTTTTTTTTTTTGGTACCAGGGATCAAACTTGGGTCCTTGCACTTGCGCAGCAGGTGGCGAAACCACTGAGCTAAATCCCCAGCCCCGATTTTTATTTTTTATTAACAAGTATAAATTCTATATATTACTAGGTTCAGTGTGATAATTCAATACATGCATGCAGCGTGTGCCAATCAAATGGAAATTAGCTGTTTCCATTCATTAGAACAATGGCTGTGGAGCACATGTTCTCTTTTTTTGGGGGGGGTGGGTACCAGGGATCGAACTCAGGACCTTGCGCTTGCGAGGCAGGCAGTGGCACCACTGAGCTAAATCCTCGGCCCAAGCACACGTTCTTAATCAACACATTGTACAGCTCTGACAGGTGATACAGTATGATGCTGCTGTTTTAAAATTGTTGTATGTAAAATTATATATATACACTCATTTTTAGTACTGTTTTACATTAATCAAATTTAAAAGTTTTTTAAGAAACAGCTCTGTAAAACTTGTAATTTGTGAGATTTTTACCGATTATAAAAATATAGTATGAAATAGTCTGGTACTAGCATGATGGATAAAGAACAACCATCTGGAATACAGTTTGGCATTATCCTGTAGAGTTGAAGCTTGGCAACCTACTGACCCCCAAGTTATAAATCTGGGTCTATACTCTATCAAAACTCACGTATTTAAGCATCAAGATACATTTCCAAAAATGGCAATGTTCATCAGCAGTAAAACAGATGAATAAATTGTCACATCTTCACATATTACACAGCAGTAAACATGGAAGAACTATACCTACATACAGCAACAAGATGATGCTTAATGTTGAATGATAGAAATAGCACAAAGGGGTATATACAATACAATTCCATTGATAATGCCTCCCAGAAATTTCATGTGCACTAAAAGTATACATCAAAAGAAATCAGTGATTAACAAAAAAGTCAAGATGATGCTTATCTGTGGAGGGAAAGAGGGCTGTGAGTGGGGGACCTGTGGGTGCTTTTGAGCTGCCAGGGTGGTCCTCCCTTGTCAGCTGGTGCTTACACTGATGCTGGCTTGATAGCTTTTCATCAAACTGCGTGTATGTTTTGTACTTTCCCTTACATGTGCCATGTTTTACAAGAGGAAGGGCTTCAAAAGCTTAGCTCAGTACAGGGGCAACCCACTTTGTGGTCCTCCTTCTGTCTCTCTTAGACAGAAGCTTTCTTTCTTTCAATAAAGTTTTCCTACTTATTAAAAAAAAAAAAAAAAAAGCTTAGCTCAGTACAAGTTTATGAAGGTCCACAAAAATTATTTTCAGGATCCAGAAAAGTTGACCCATTTCTCATCTCCTAATCTTTATTATTAGCTGGTAGACTCTGATGACTGTTTTTGTTTACATCTTTACTATTAGTAAACTCAGAGCCAAATTTGTGTTTTATACATAGCAAATGGATGTGACCCTTGGGGTCAGCACTTAACTATCTCGACCTCACTTTTCCTGCCCTCCTCATTCTACTCTACTTTGAGTTCCTTTAATTTCACTCTACTCTTACTTCCTCACATAAAATTTATTTTTTAAAGAATTATGTATTTTTTAAATCACTTTAAGCAGGAAAAACTTTAAATAAATAAATATATTTGATTTAAAGTAATGTTCATATACCCTGAGTACCTACAGACATTGAAAAAGGAAGGAAATCTCCCACCTGCCTTTTTGTTTGTTTGTTCTGTTTTGGTACCAGAGATTGAACGTGGGACCTTGTGCTTGTGAGGCAGGTGCTGGAACCACTGAGCTAAATCCCCGGCCCCTGTTCTGTTTTGTTTTTTGAGACAGGATCTTGCTATGTAGTTTAGGCTGGCTTTGAACTCACTATGTAGCCCAGGCTGGCCTCAAACTCAGCGATCCTCCTGCCTCAGCCTCCAGAGAGCTGAGATTACAGGTGTGTGCCACCATGCATAGCTGCCACACCTGGCTTTTGATACTAGGGGAATTTTCACTAATGACTGACAAAGGATAATCTTCTAAAGCACAGGCCTTTTAGGTAGTATGTCATGTTGGCTGTATTTGCCATATTTATTTCCTCACTGAGCTTTTTGTTTGGCTGGTTGAGGTACTTGTTCATTCTGTGGCATTCGGAATTGAATCCAGGGCCTTCCCTCTGAGCTGCATCCCTCGCCACTCTACCTTTTTACACTAAGTTGCCTGGGCTGGGCTGTAACTTGTGATCCTCTTGCTTCTGCCTCCCGGAGTGCTTGGTATTAGGGATATGAGCCACATCCAGCCACCTTACTGAGCTTTGATCAGCTTGTCCTTTTCTCCACTTAAAGGGAACTACTGTGTGCACAGCCAGCTGTCTTCAGCTTCATAAGCGAGCGGAGAGGACTGCATCAGTCCTGGGTGACAAAGGACATCTAAATGCAGGAGACAATGTGGTGTTGCTTTACCCACCCGGTAAGTATTAGGTTATTGGTAAACTAGACCCCAGGCTCCGTTACTCACCTCCGTACAGAGGAGAGGACAGAACTCAGGGTCAGCGTCTGCAGCCCCAGAAACAGTGCATTCCCAGTACCAAGAGCACCAGGCTGCTAAGACCGAGTCCCTCAGAGTTTTGCATGTAATGGCTCTGCTAGAACCATATCTGCTTTACCTAGACTTCCATTATCAGTACTCGGCACAAAAGGCACCCAGTAAATATTGAATTCGTGAGTGAGTAAATTAATACTTAAACTATCTGACTTTTGGGAATCCTCAAAACAGGTGCTCTGAGGCCAGGCACAGTGGTGCACACCTCTAAAGTTCACCCCCTTTGATACAGCGACATCTGAGAAGTCCAGTTGCTTTTTCTGTAGCAGCCTTCTAAATATTAAATGAAAGCTTAGGTTTTCCTGTCTCTGCTTTTTCTATCCTTTTATTCCTCTAGTGAGGCATCCCTGATTTTTGCAGTTATTTTTTCTAAGTAATGTCAGTTAATAACATTAACATATCTTCAAGTGTTTATCAGAAGTTTACTTCTGATTTCTCCTTCACTATTTATTCTTGGCTTCTCTCTGTAGTTTTGTTTTTTTGGGTTTTGGGGGGCTTTTTTGGTACCGGGGATTGAACTCCGGTCCTTGCGCTTGCAAGGCAGGCAATGGAACCACTGAGCTAAATCCCTGGCCTGTAGTTTTGTTTTATATGCTTCTTCACTATCAATTTCCTTTAATTTTTAAATTTTCTTCTGCTGGTATCTTGTTAAATTGTGGTTCAACCCATCTGGCTTGATTTCATAAACTGGTTTTGGAAGGTCTGCATTTAATTTCTTAGTGATACTGTTAGGGGGGGCTAGTTTTTTGTTTTGTTGTTGGGTTTTTTTGGTTTTAGTTTGGAGACAATCTCGCTGTGTAGATCAGACTGGCCTCGAACTCACAGAGATCCTCCTGCCTCAGCCTCCCAAGTGCTGAGAAAACAGGCCTGCACCACCACACCCAACTTCTTAGTGATACTAGCAGCTAAGTGACCTCTGACCGTGCCTCTGTTTTACAGGCATCGAGTTGATTGCTGCATTCTACGGCTGCCTGTATGCAGGGTGTATACCTGTGACCGTCAGACCGCCTCACGCCCAGAACCTTACTGCCACATTGCCTACTGTCCGTATGATTGTTGATGTAAGTGTCAAGTGTACCTTGCTTTGTCCTTATCTCATGAAGCCCAGATTCAAACAACTAAGGAGCCTTAATAATTTCTCAGTTTTGTTGGGTCAAGAAGTCAAGTTTTGTTGGGCGTGGTGGTGCATGCCTGTGATTCCAGCATTGAGGAGGCTGAGACAGTGTCACCATGAGTTCAAGGCCAGCCTGGGCTACATAGTGAGTTGAAGGCTAGCCTAGACTGCCCAGTGAGACCTTGTCTCAACACCCCACCCCCAAAAGTAAAATTTTAGCTAGGCATGGCGGACAGTGTCTATAATCCTAGCACTGAAGGAGGCTGAGGCAGGAGGATGGCAAGTTTGAGCTCAGTGTGGGCAACTTACCAAAACTTCATCTTAAAAATAGAAAAAGTAAGCTGGATATGGTAGGCTCATCAGTAATCCCAGCACTCAGGAGGCTGAGGCAGGAGGATCACTATAAATTTGAGGCTGGTCCGGGTTACATAGTGAGTTTAAGACCAGCCTGAACTATCTATATAGTGATATCTTGTCGCAAAAAAAAAGATTAGTAAAAGGGCTGGGAATGATTTTAGTGCAAAGGCCCTGGTTTTCAGTCCCTGGGATTGCCAACAAAAAGTCAAATTTTTCTCATAAAACCTATCTCCTAATAAATAAATAAATAAATAGCCTATCTCCTGTTCTTTAATCCGGCCAAAGTAACCCTTGTTACTCAGTAAAGAAACTGTAAGAAAATAGTTATTAGTGAGATATGGAATTGTGGATATTAATCCTGAACATTAAGGAGCTAAAGCCGTCATTAATAATTATCCCTAAAACTTGTCCTCTCCTTCATAAAACATGTTATCTGTCTGTTATTTCTCCTCTACGATAAGCAGTGTAATTTCACACACCAAACTCTGAATTCTCCCCAGTGTCAGATCACTTTTAGTTTAGTTTTGTAAATTCAGTTGGTGTAGCATTAAAAGATGTCCAGTTAGGGGCTGGAGAGTTAGCTCAGTGCACCTGCCTCGAAAGTGCAAGGTCCTGAGTTCAATCCCCAGTACCGCACCAAAAAAAAAAAAAAAGATGTCCAAGTCTGGGTGTGGTAGCACAGGCATGTAATCCCAATACTCTGGGAAACTGAGGCAAGAGGAACATAAATTTGACCCCTACCTGGGGCACTTAGTGATTTAGTGACCCTGTCTTAAAAGGGGGGAGGATAGGCATATAGCTCAGTGTGAAGGCCCTGGGTTTAATCCCCAGTACTGCAAAAGAAAAAAGATGTCCAGGAGCCCAGGGATTTAGCTCAGTGGCACCGTGTCTGCCTCACAAGTACAAGGTCCTGAGTTCAATCCCCCATACCCCCAAAAAATGTCCAAGGCTTGGGGGGCATACATCAGTAGAGTGCTCATCTAGCATGAGCAAATCCCTCCATTTGATCCTCAGCACTGCAAGATAAAAGACATCAAAACCTTATTCTGGAATATGTGATAAAGTTTTTACCAGATTTAAGAATTGAAATTAAATACTTCTCTATGGCACCATATCCTCATGTGCATTAAAGCACAAGGCAGTGTTGGCCAATGGACTGAAAGGTTACAGAATTCTAATTTACTTAATGTTTGTTTCTCTGAGAATTACTGTTCTGTTAGCAGCATAAAAGCCATGTTCATCATGATTGATTTTATTATACAGTTTGATTCAGCCAAATGCCCTTATTATAGCCTACAAAGTGGACCAGGAAAGCCGGAAGAGGAGTTTCTTTCTGTTGATTTGCATTTCACACATCCCAGGCCAGGCTCAGTGTCCATGGGCTTGTGTCTGAATCTGTGTCCTGTGAGGAGTGCAGCGCTCAGGCTGCTCCGTCTCCCTGCACTAAGCTGTGGCACACATGGCTCTACATGTGTGTATCTCGCTCCTTTCATTCCCCGAGCATAAAGAAGTCATTATTTTCGGGGCTTAATGAAATCTGGGATTGCAGGATACATACTGAGAGTATAACTAAAATATTTAAGAATCACTATTGTAAGCTACAACTTGTTGCTTGGGAAAAAGTCTTTCATTTCAAGAGAATTAAGCATTACACATTTACAGTAGTAAAAGTGCCAAGGCAAACACCAACCCTGATCTTTGAAAAGTTAATAGTACCTTGTCCAGTACCCTATGCAAGTTGCTTTTAGTAGCAGCCAGAGCTGCTTATTGCTGTCTGTCTCATTTCTAGGTTAGCAAAGCAGCTTGTATTCTTACCACCCAGACCCTAATGAGGTTACTAAGGTCCCGGGAGGCGGCTGCAGCTGTGGATGTGAAAACCTGGCCGACCATCATCGATACAGGTGAGAGGAAGAGTCCTTTCTCCAGAGCTGTTTCGGAAGCAAGAACATTCGCCACCTGGGATTTTCTACATTCTCATGCCAGGCACATTTGTATGTCTTTCGTGTTGAAACGCATTCCATCTGCTAAGGCAGAGAGAAAACCTTGCAAGCAGCAGAGTTGGGTCTCATTTTTTTTAATTTTTTTTTTTTTGGGGGGGGGAGTTTAGTTTATTCCTCTAAACAATACTTTTCTTTGGAAAACAAACCCCATGGAGTTTCTGCCATCAAGTTGTTTAACTTATTTCTAGAAGCCTAGTACATGCAGAGTTGAAACTACAGGGGAAAAGTTTTAAAAAGGAGATCCTACAAGAGGAAAACTCAAGCTATTATAACAAATATTCCTTTAAACACCAAGATAGCTCAACACACTTCAGACAAAAGATTTGGTCTACTAAGGAATCCAGCCTGGTAACTACACACTTAGTCCTCACGAAGTTAACAGTAAGTTACAAGTCAAAGGTCTCATTTTTTAATCTAATCTGCCAGTCCACGTGTTTTAATTAGAGAATTAAGACCATTTACATTTCACAGTTAGGATGGAAAGGTATGTATCTGTTAATTCCTATCTTATCTACTCTTCCTCTTCTGTGGATAGCATTCCTTTAAGTATTTTCTGCAGTGCTGGCTTAGTGGACATGGACATCTTTAGTTTATGCTTAGAAGGGCTTTATTTCTTCATTTTTGAAGAAAGACAAAAGCTAATATTCAGCTTGTGGGACCTAAGGACTGGACAGTAACCAGATCCAAAGAACCAGCTCATAGTACTCCAGGAGTTCTTCAACCAAAGTATTTGGCCAGGCGTGATGGTGCACAACTATAATCCCAGCACTCTGGGAGTCTGAGGCAGGAAAATCATAAGTTCATGCCTATACTGGGCAACTTAGCAATTTAGTGAGACCTTGCCTCAAAAATAAATAAGATCTTGCACATGCCTATAATCCCGCCCTTGGAGTGTTGCAGCAGGAGGATTGCCACAAATTCAAGACCAGCCTGGGCTACATAGTGAAACCCTAACTCCAAAATCAATCAATCAAAAGAGCAAACAAATAAACTTTTTAAAAAAATAAAGTGGGCCAGGGATTTAGCTCAGTGGTTCCAGTGCCAGCCTGGCAAATGCAAGGTCCCGAGTTCAATCCCCAGTACCAAAAAAAAGTATCTTGCTGTTACTTTTGGTGTCATCCAAAGGCAGTTAGGATATCATGCCAGCTGTGGCTGTGTATACATGTAGGGCCATATGAAATACTGATATAGTCTGACCTTGACTTCTAGAGCCAACATAGTTGATTCAGTATTGGACCAGAAGTCACAAGACTTGGGTGTGAGCTTCACTAGAGCTTGCTGCCTGTATAACCTTGACTGGGATGATCCTTTCCTAAATACTGCCTCCCTAACTGACTGACGTGCTTATTGAGAAGGTCTATCATATGATCTGAAAATAATTTCAAAACTGTAACACATGTGAATTTTAGGTGATATTTACTAAAAAGGAGCAGCCAGCCATTGTGGTGTACACCTATAATCCCAGCACCTGGGAGACTGAGGGACGAGGTTTGTAAGTTCAAACCCATCTTGGTCACCTGAGTGATTTGGCCAAACCCTATCTCAAAATTTAAAAGGCCCATGGGTCGGGAATTTAGCTCAGTGGTTCCACCACCTGCCTTGCAAGCACAAGGTCACATAGCTCATCAAATAGAGCCGAGATTTGAAGACCAGCAGCCTGCTTATTACTATGCTATATTACCCCTTACTAACCTCTGTTAAATGAATTCACCTGATGTAGATTTGCTTATTTATATTTTCTAGTGGTGTCCTCAACCCCATCCCACCTCAGAGTGAAATTCATGAGCTGCTTGGTTAAATACAAGAAACCCAAGCTTTCATAAATCTCAGAAGCTAAATTTGGCCATAGCAGAGCCTAACAGAAGCATAACAGAAGACCAGTTGAAGAGCAATGGTTTTCATGTTCCAGCATGACTAATGACACTGAGTTTGTTTCTTTTCATTGCAGATGATTTACCCAGGAAAAGGTTACCTCAGCTGTATAAACCACCCACTCCTGAGATGTTGGCATATCTTGATTTCAGTGTCTCCACGACTGGCATGCTTACTGGAGTGAAGGTAAAGCAGGCTGGATGTATGCACTCACTTGCCAAAAGCTGGTCAGATGCCTGGCTGCCATAAATAGAGATGACCACTGACCCGAGACTCATGCAGAGGCCCCATGGTTGAACTAGAGGCCAGTAGGCGGAGGATCAAGGGTCCCTGCTATATTTAAATAAAAGCATTGGCTCAGGGTGGATATTTAGCTCAGTGGTTCCACCACCTGCCTCGCAAGCACAAGGTCCTGAGTTTGATCCCCAGGTACCAAAAAAAAAAAAAGCATTGGCTCTTCTGGAATAAGTTATCCCAAGGAATTGTATTATGAAGTGTCTGACCCTAGCATAAAAGCTAACTGATGTTACAAGTTCTAGTTAAGGTCACTATGCAATCATAGACTGATATATCATAAAGTTCAGTATTAACTAGTGAACAGAAATATGTTGCCCTAATTTAGATTTGGATTAAGGCAGGCGGCGGAACCACTGAGCTAAATCCCTGGCCCTGGATTAAGTTTTAAGGCAATAAAAATATCCATCACTTGAGGAGTTTGGGGAATTGAAACTTTTCAGAGCTGTTTCCCTGTGTGTGGGATGTCACTTGCATCCTGTTCCATGTTCCTTCCTTTCTAGATGTCCCACTCTGCAGTTAATGCTCTCTGTAGAGCCATCAAGCTCCAGTGTGAGTTGTATTCTTCTCGGCAGATCGCCATCTGCCTTGACCCTTACTGTGGACTTGGCTTTGCACTCTGGTGTCTCTGCAGGTAAGGATGGAAAAGTCAAAGACACGGAATACTTTGGGGCTGCTATAACCAGGTCATCTTTCCTTTTGCTCCTTTAATTTGCTACGGTTTTTAGTAAAAGGCTGTTTCTCTGAGTTGTCTGGTATTGTCTGGATTCCCTTTTTCTTCTCTTCTGTTTTATACCTCATATAAAATGGCAGTTATTCTGTTACCTGTTCTGTGCTTCTCCCTATAATTCTTGTCTTAGAAGCAAAGCCAGATGGTAGGATGATAACTTGGGTGGAATATGACATGCTTTGACAGCCAGCATATACCCCCTAGGCTTGGCAGGAAGGAGCGTAGTGGGATTTGATGATAGCATGTGCCTGGAAAGTAGCATGTGTGCCCTGGCCAGATTGCTTCTTGAATAGCAAATTCCAGCTCCTTCTGTCATCTGCCCCAGGGGCTTTATCTTAGACTTGTATTTTCATTTCCTGTGGACTTTATGAATGCTTTGCAAATGAAATGTGAGCAATCTTCAACTTCTATATGTTTATGACATTCATAATTAAATGTCATATTCTTTGGCTCAGTTGTTCTATACTGGTCTTTCTATAAGAATCAGTTGTCTTTGACATGCTTCACCAGCTTGAACCGCTGGTGGTACACATATGATGGTCCCATTGAATGGCTTGTATCACTGGTGATACAAACACTATAAATTTTATTTTATTTCATTTTATTTTACTTTATTTAATTAATTTATTTATTTATTTATTTTGGTGCCGGGGATTGAACTCGGGTCCTTGTGTTTGCAAGACAGGCGGCAGAACCACTGAGTTAAATCCCTGGCTACAAACACTGTAATCCCTTTTATTGGTCTTTTTATTAGTAAAAATAATGAAAAGTCCCCAGTGGGACTATCGTACAAATTATGGCCCCATTGTGAATCTGTGAACAAAACAAAAACAAATCATTTTGTGGATCATAAATGTGATGATTGGGTTTTCACACTATTGTGTGTGAGAAGTGTCTCCCTCAAACCTTGTTACAGTGTTGACGCCTTTGTCATCTGATGTGGAAAAGAATAATTAATGAGGCTTCCCCAGATTTAGCTCTCCAGAGGTGACAACCACAATGCCAGTACATTTTAAATTCAGGCTTCCTGAGCTTGTAGTGATTCTGCTCTATACCAGGGTTTAGGAAGTTTAGACTTCATGGCTGCAGAGTACACCTGTGCTACGTGGCTATGCCATTCCTCTCTTTTTATCCTAGTCGAGCTATTGGGATTCAAGCCCGCACAGTCCCTCATTGGTATTGTTGTCAGTAGCTTGCTACAGCCTTTCCTCTCAGCCTTCAGCCTCCAGTGGCTTGTGTCTCTAATCTCTACCCCAGCTGCTGGTTTTGCTTCAACTAAAATCACCCTTGAAGGGTTTAATCTCACCTCCTTCATAGGCTTGTGAAGCCCTTTCAGTTTGGCCCCAGCCTTTTTAGCCTTACTCCCTGTGCTTCAGGATTCCACTGGAATGCTATTTCTTTCTTTTTTTTTTTGGTACCAGGGATTGAACTCAGGACCTTGCTGTTGCGAGGCAGGTGCAGTGCCACTGAGCTAAATCCCCAGCCCAGGAATGCTATTTCTAACCTATGCATGCTCCATAATTCCCTGCCTTTGGATACTCTGTCCCTTTTCCTGGAATACCTTCCCTGTCCTCCCCACTTCTTCCAGCCACTCAATTCTTCCTCATTCTTTAAACCCCAGCTCAGATGCCTCCTACTGAGTGACACAACCAGCCCCATCCAACTTTCTCATTTTGAATGAATTGCTCTGTATTCTATGAACTCAATGTCCTTTATTCACAGCTCAGTTACCACACCTACCACAGTCTGCTCTATTTTATGGTTACTATGTCTTGTGAGTTGCATAGGAACAAGGCTGATTCTTAGATGTTTAGATCTAATGTGACTGTCCACTGTCCTTCCCACACAGTAAATATTTGTTGAATTGGTAGTGTTCTAAAATGAGGTGTCTAGGACGAATTAATAACGTTAGTTCTTGCCTTTCTTCATTCCAGTGTCTATTCAGGTCACCAATCCATCTTAATTCCTCCTATGGAGTTAGAAAACAACCTTTTTCTCTGGCTTGCCACAGTCAACCAGTACAAAATAAGGGATACCTTCTGCTCCTATTCTGTAATGGAGCTTTGCACTAAAGGGCTGGGAAACCAAGTGGAGGTACTAAAGGTAAGTTGCAGCCACAACAAAGAACCTAAGAAACCTTGACTAAATAAGTCCTAAGAGCTTTTAGAGAAATGAGCCAGGGCATGATAATAACAGAGTAGAGTTTAGCAGACACATTTACCTGCCTTTTTCTAGCCAGACATTTAAATGGGTATTCTATAAACTCAGGAAATTTTAAATCTTTCATTTTACTAATTTAATGTACTCTTTCAGGGTCTAAACAGATTCTAACTTTTTAGTGAAAAAGATGAGATTCGTTGAGAGCTGAATGAAAATGACTTCATGTAAAGATAAAAGGAAACTGTGACCTCCAGCAGAATTTCCCCGGTATAATTTGAAGCCTCAAAAATTTGAGATTGGAGGTGGCCCCAAAGATAAGGACAGTTCCCTAAAATGTGTCTCCAAGGGTTCTGGTTTTTTTAAGTTTAAAAATTAATACCTGTTTACAATATATAATGATGACCTTCATCATGGGGAGTTGGTTCATGTACATACTACAAGGAGCATATTTCTGGCTATCACATGAGAAAGCCAAAAAACGCCGAATTGTCTTTAATAGAGAAATATGACTTCAGGAAGGAAAACTAGAAATGAGATTAGATACCCAGGTTCTCTTAGTCCCAGCAAATAGAGAGAAACCTAAGGTTCAGAAATGGGGAATAACAGGGCTGGGGATTTAGCTCAGTGGCACTGTGCCTGCCTCAAAAGTGCAAGGCCCTGGGCTGATCCCTGGTACGGGGTGGGGGGATAATAAAGATGTATTGTTGGAAAGCCCGTGGTTTTTAGATGAAAGAAGAAAGGAATAAAGAATGAGCACCTTTGCCCATGATAGTGATTTATTTTTTTTAATAAATTTATTTTATCCCCCCCTCCCAAGCTCCCTCCCCTCCCTATGTACAAAGCTTGTTTCCATTTTTTCTGTTTTCACTGTTTTCCTTGTCCCTTCCTTCCTTTCTCCCTCCCTCCTCCGTTCTTCCCCTTCCCATTTGAACACCTTCTTCCCATTTCCCAACATCCATCATACATTTCAGTCCTTCTTTTGGTTTCTCACACCAGAGAAACAATGTGGTATTTAACCGTGTGTGTCTGATTTATTTCACTTAAGAGTATGAAGAGTATTGTCTCAGGGTGCATCCATTTAGCTGGAAATGGCTGAAGCTCATGTGATAATTTTAAAGGAATGTGTCTTGCATTTTCTTTTCTGAAAGCTGCTTTTCTCTGCATGTCAGAGGTTTAAAAAAAAAAAAAAAAAAGTTCCTTGGCTTTTCTTCACTGAAGAGAGCAGTGGCTCTTAAGCTCTCTGCTGACCCTGCCACCTTAGCCTGTGTACTGAATGTCTTACAGACAAGAGGGATCAACCTGTCCTGCATCCGGACCTGTGTGGTGGTGGCAGAGGAGCGGCCCCGCATCACCCTCCAGCAGTCCTTCTCCAAGCTCTTTAAAGACATTGGTCTGTCTCCTCGGGCTGTCAGCACCACTTTTGGATCCAGAGTCAATGTAGCGATATGTTTACAGGTGATATTACCAAGTCTTGTTTGCTAACACAGCTGCAAGCCTAGGCTCACTTGTGATGGGACTTGAGGCTTTTTACTTTGCCTGCTCTGTGCCTCATTTTGCTCATCTGTAAAATGGATATGATAGTTTCATACTTCCCAAGGTGGGTTGTGGCATCACTGAGTTACTAGATCAGAGCGTGGGGAGAAGCTGACAGGCAAGAAGCAGTGTAAATGCTTTCTCTTAGTATTACTGGTGTGGTGTGTGATGAGCCAGAAGGCTGAGTCCTATTTGGAACACCCTATTTGGGTTTTATTTATATCTGACCTGGTTTTCCATCTTCTCTGTATTTTACACTTTTTTTCCCCAAATGCACAAATAAACCTGCACTCTTATTCTCTTTTCCAGTTAGATGGCAACTTGGCCATGTTATTCTTTGTGGGTAAATAACAGAAAAGGGACTGGAACTAAGTCTGACTTTATGCAGGCTAGAAGCTAATAAAGCAGACAATAGGCATGGATGAGCCTGAGTGAAAGAGGGTGGCATATGCAGGTAGATACTTGCAGGTCTTCTGTGCCCATAGTTAAGTAATTTCAGGAAGTGTTGTGGTACTTCCACCATGGAGCCCCATTAGGGCCTCTTACTCTCAGCTAGGGCTGGTGTTGATTTTGAAAATCCCTGAGCCAGACCTGGGCATGGTGGTACACACCTATAATCCCAGCACTCAGGAGGCTGAGGCAGGAGGATCTGCACAAGTTTGAGACCAGCCCAGGCTTCATAATGAGGCCCTGCCTCAGATGAAAAAAAGAAAATCCCTGGGCCAGAAATGGAAACCCTCCCTGGCTTGGTAATGCTTCAGTGCTGCTGCAGCCTGTGATGGAGGAGAGGAAGGGAAATTAGATTCCCAGGCTGAGTCACTTATAGTTGTTAACTCCACCCTGCCTCACTTGATTGAAGAGAAAGTGAGCTTTCAAAATTGGATAATGCATGTATATAGCTAAAATACCTATGTCTCAATTTGAGCATGTGAAATATGAAAAGATATTTTATTTAAATTTTATATATATGGGCCAGGGATTTAGCTCAGTGGTTCCAACGCCTGCCTAGCAAGCAGAAGGACCCGAGTTCGATCCCCAGTACCCCCCCCAAAAAAATTTATATGTACATTTCACTGCTTTGTTTTTCTTTAGGGAACGTCAGGACCTGATCCCACTACTGTGTACGTCGATCTGAAATCATTAAGACATGACAGGTATGCCACTGCCTTAATGCATTCCTTAGTACAGAGTTTGCACCCTGGAAACCAGCATTTCCCCTTGTTCCTTTTATGTTTGCGTCTTCTGAGAGGAGTCTGGGAAGAGGGCAGGAGCTCATTTTTATCATTAATGCATGAAAAGATTTTCATTTATAAAAGAAAGCTTTAATTCTCACAGTTGCTGCACTATTCTTTAATACTAAAAATCTAGTACTATTTTGTGACATTTGATATGAATTAAACTAAAATGATAGTCACTTTCTTCTTTAAAAATAAGATGAGACAAAAAAAAATAATAAGATGAGACAGACAAGATCTATGAGGCAGAGCAGAGTTTTATCTGAATTCACCAGGTAGAAGCTTGCCTTCTCAGCTTAGATTTTATTTCTGTCCCAGTTGAGCACAGGCAGAGACTCTGTGCCCTCTTCCTGAGCCATACTCACTGATGTCCTCTGATGCATCCCAGCTGGGCCCCCGGTCCTGCACAGGTGGCACATTACTTGTGCACAGTGTTCTCACTCTGGAAACATTTGACAATGTCTGGAGGCACTTTTGGTATTACAGTAGGGGAGCCACTGCTGACATCTAGTGGGAGAGGCCAGGGATGTTGCTAAACACCCTACAGCAAAAAAATTGCCTGACTCCTGCTGTCAGTCTGAGAAACCCTGCTCTAGCGGTGGGGAGGAGAGACCAGTTAGGGGTATCAGGACGGCAGGAGACATGATGAAATCACTTTTAGAAAGGCTGTGTCCAGTAACTTCTGTTCTGCAGGGTTCGTCTTGTGGAGCGGGGAGCCCCCCAGAGTCTGCTGCTGTCAGAGTCTGGAAAGGTACTGTATTCTGCGGCCTTTGGTGGACAGGCTCTGCAGAGAGGTCTGTCGCTTTAGAGGGATCTGAAGCCCGGCGAGATGCTAGTATCCAGGGCAAAACTTAATTGAAATCTGGAGATAATTCAACAGCTTCAGCTTAGGCAACACTTTAAAATTCATATCGGTACATGTAGAAGTGATATAGGGGGAAATAGATGTAACTCCCAAACCTGCTAAATATCTGAAATGTGAGTTCATGTTCTCTAAAATTGAAGAATGAATTCTAGGAACAACGGAGGTTGAGAGTAGGAAAAAATTGATGGAGAGAAAGAAAGCTTCTGTCCAAGAGAGCCAGAGGGGGACCGGAAAGTGGGCTGTCCGCCCACCCTGCTTTTCAAAGGTGTTTTATCTGGCAAAGCCACATGGTGAGCGCAGAGTGGGACAAAACTTTAGGACCCAGTGGAAAATTACAAGGTGGGCCTGAGGTGGGGCAAAACCGTGAGCAACCAGTAAGGTTACAAGGACAGTCACCCGGTTAACATTGAGTAAACGGGGGTCAGGTGGGAAAACAAGTCACAGGCAAGGAATTTCACACATAGAATATCAATCACTGGGCCCAGGGATTTAGCTCAGTGGTTCCGGCGTCTGCCACGCAAGCGCAAGGTCCCAAGTTCGATCCCTGGTAAAAAAAAAAAAAAAAAAAAAAAAGAATATCAATCACTATTATCTACCTCTAGGGGAAGTGGTACCTCTCTTCTTCTTTATAATGCTAACCAGTGAACGTGCCTCAATTGTTCTCCATGTGGGCTCCTAGCTGTGTTGGCTCGCTCCTGGAGGGCTGGCGCTTTGAGGTGAGGGCAGCCCTGTCTAACTGCCTACAAGATACCTAATTAACTTAGCTATCTACAACAGGAGACTAGATTTGATCCTTTTTGATTTCGGTAGTTTTTAAATTCACCATTACTCTTCCTGACAAATTAGCAAAATGCAGTGTTCATTATTTGCAAAGTGGGTAGCTGAACAGCACTTCAAAAGAGCCAGTTTTATTTTTATTAATGTCACATGGAGAAAGCTAGAGGTGCAGATGTGGATGTGATATAGTGTAAGATCACAGGAAAACATAGCACATTTAAAACTGAAAGAAGTCTGGATGGGGCAGAGGTTAAGGATAGTTGAAGCTGGACATGGTGACACACACCTGTGGTCCCAGAGCTCTGGGAGGCTGAGCCAGGAGAATGAGAAGTTTGAGCCTAACATGGGTACTTAGGTAAGACTTGTCTCAGAGTAAAAAACTAAAACAGGGCTGGGGATGTAGCCCATTGAGAAGGTCATGGGCTCAATCCTCAGTACCACCAGTTTTTTTTAAAAAAGGAAGGAGAGCAGCTGAGAGAGTGTGAATCCCTTAGAATCCATCCCAGTAATTCTGGAGGCCGAGGTAAAAGGGAAATAAGGAGATCCTACTGTTTCTGGAGTGGGGCACTGACTCCAGTGTCTCTGTGCTGTAAGGAAGCCTGGCAGGTGGCTATTACCTCCTCAGATCTGCTGGTCAGGTGCAAATGGGAGCCTCAGCATATGCCCTGAGGGACCTGACCCAGGGCAGCCTAGGGGGAGCCATCTCTTCCCTTCCTTCCTGGAGGTTTCACCTATTTAAGCTCAGATGACCGCAGTGGGGCTTCTCAAATAACCTGAAGCTTTAGAAACCCACGATAAAAAGAGATGCAAGGGGGCATGATACACAGGACCCCGGAGGCTTTTCTCTTGGTTGGCCCTGAGCCGTTCTCCGGCCACACCTGGTTCTTCTTTCCTTTGCTGAGGAAGGTCCTGGGCACGTGAGGTCTTTCGAGACCCCAGGACACAGACATCCTCCATTCCCCTGCAGAGCCACCTCTGTCCTGACCTCTCTCACTCTTTTGGCTCCTTGGCTCATGGCCAGAATGGAGTCTCTCAGTCTCACCCTCCCTTTCAGTTTTAAGGGATTTTGTGTTGTTCTGTGGAAGAGGTAGATGGTGAGAAAAGAAAGTTCCATGGCTGTTACGCTCCTAGTCTGCACCTTCTCTTCACCCTAAAGAGTTGTACATTGGTCCTCTGTTTTATTTTTTAGGGTGAATCTTAATGGACCTCTGGCCTCCAAAAAACTGAGGGAGATTCAGTAGGAGCAAAATAGGTGTCTGCAGTTGTCCCCGAGGGGCAGCCACGTACTGATAGCCGTTCCCTTTGTGGCACTCGCACATCTCTAGCACCTGGCTGCCCATTTTCTAGAGCTCATGAGATTTCATTAAATAGATTTAACTTCCTAGATTCCAAAGGTTATTACTACCCTATCTTTATATTTTCCCTTTGATTCTTAGATTTTACCTGGTGTGAAAGTAGTTATTGTTAATCCTGAGACCAAAGGCCCTGTTGGAGACTCTCACCTGGGCGAGGTAGGTATAATCTTCAATTTCACTCTGAAAAGTCAGTTAAGACTTTAGTTCTTATATCCTGAAAGCAAGCCAAGCGGATTTAGCATTTTCTTCATTGTGAGTAGTCTTTTTCTGGAAGATGGGAGACTGAAATAAAAAGAAAGGGAGAGGCGTGGAGGCTGGGACTTAGCTCAGGGGTTTCGCCGCCTGCTGTGCAAGCGCAAGGACCCGAGTTCGATCCCCGGTACCAAAAACAAAGGGAGAGATTGAGACTAGAGCCCGGAGATGGTTCAGGTTCCCAGACCAGAACTAGCCCGAGATTGGTCCGCTGCCATCCACTTACCTGGCAAAGAAATGGGGCAAATCTCCCCTTGAATGCCTGGAACTAGAAGAAGCCACATGCAGTCAATTTTTTAAATTCATGTAATTATGTTCCAAAATGAATCCATTTTTGTATTAGTATAAAAATATCTCTTGAGCTGTGCATGGTGGCACACGTCTGTCATCCCAGCCCTTGGGAGGCTGAGCCAGGATTGCTGTGAGCTCAAAGCCAGCCTGAGCTACATAGCGAGATCCTGTCTCCAAAAACAAACAAACAAACAAACAAACAAAAAATCTAAAAGACTTTTCTTTCCCCCGGTCTTTGAGGGTTGCTAATGTTTGATCCTGTTGTTTAATGGGAGGAGTCTGATGAGCTGGGCTCCCCAAATTATCAACTTCTCAACATTGAGGAAGTTTCTTAACCTCCCTGGGCTTGTTTCCTCATCCATTAATAATAACAGTGCACCTCCCCTGCCACCCCCTGCCTTTGGGCACATGCCTCCAGTCTCACCCCTCAGGAGGCTGAGGCAGGAGGACTGCCGAAAGTTCTAGGCCAGCCTGAGCTGTGTAGTAAGACCCTGTCTCAAAAATAATAATGATAGGGCTGGGGATTTAGCTCAGTGGTTCCAACGGACGCCTGCCTCACAAGCGCAAGGTCCTGAGTTCGATCTCCTGTACCCAAAAATAATAATAATAATAATCTGGGCTTGGTGGTGCACACCTGTAATCCCACCATTCAAGAGGGTGAGGCAGGAGGAGGCCAGCCAGTTCAAAGCCAGCCTGGCCTGCATAGTGAGCTCAAGACCAGCCTGAACAACACAGCAAGACCCTGTCTCATAAAAACCAAAATAATAATAATAGCCCCTACCTTACCTACAGAGTAAAATTTTGACAAATGTACTACTACCTGCATCTGCAAAGCGCATGAACACTGTCTCACAGTGAGTTCTCAACAAATATTTGCCACATTATTATCATTGTTATCAACTTAGCCCTGTTTACATTTTAAACTCTGATGTCCTGTGGTGTTCCTCCCAGGGTTTTGTAGTTATATCCAAAGCACAGAGATGACACCTCGGTACTTTTGTGGGAATCTGGAAGCAGGTGAGAAAGGAGCTAGGGAGGCAGTGTAGCCGCATGGCTAAGAGGACATCCTCTGAAGCCAGGTGTGGTGATGCATGCCTACAGCCCCAGCACTGGAGAGGCGGAGGCAGAGGCTCACTGGTGAATTCAAACCCAACCTGGGCTACATAGTGAATCCGGGGTCAGCCTGAGCTGCATAGTAAGACCCTGTCTCAAAAACTTAGAAAGAAAGAGAAAAGTGGGAGAGCCATATTGTCACATCATATATATCAAGATTGATGGAGGTTAGGCTTATAAGGTCCTTATTACCTCATTGCTCTGCCCATAGAAAACACAGTAAATGCCAGCTGTCCTTACTGTTGCAATTGTGTTGTTAATGTAGAAGTGAGATTTCAACAAATGAAAATACTGTCCCAGAACAGCCCAGGAGAATCTGTCTGTTCCTGGTAAAATGTGGCCACTTCCCTTTTCTTGTAGATCTGGGTGAACAGTCTCCATACAGCAAGCGGCTACTATACCATCTATGACAGTGAGACTCTGCAAGCCGATCATTTCAACACTCGCCTCAGCTTTGGGGATGCTGCTCAGACACTCTGGGCTCGAACAGGATACCTTGGGTTCGTCCGCAGGACTGAGCTCACAGCAGCCACTGGAGGTATCTCCCGCCTCCGTGCCCATGTGGGGCTTTGTTCCATAGCACTGGCTGGCCTTCTACCCCCTGAGGAGTGTGGGGTGTAGGCCCAGTTGTCCCCTTCTGTGCTCTTGAACCCGTAAGTGAATTCATGTTCCTTTGAAGTAATATTTGTGCTTCTACAGTGTCTGGAGGGAAGCGCTCAGGACCACCATGTAAGATCCTAGGAGTGGTCGTTAGATGGCCAGGCAGTCACAATATGTGCTGAGGGCATGAGGCTCTGGTGTCGAGGTCTGATACTATTCCTGAGCAGTGTCCCTATTACTGGGACAGATGGAACATCTTTTAGCTCTTCTACCCATGCATACCATTTTGGGAGCAGAAGGAACAGCCCTAATCTCTGAGTGTGGTAGTGCATACCTATAATCCCAGTACTTAGGAGGCTGAGGCTGGAGGACTGCCATGAATTCAAGGCCAACCTAGGCTACATAGAGAGCCCCTGTCTCAAAAAAAAAACACCACACTCTAATCCCTGAAGAAGGGTTAACTCTACACTTGATCTTAGCCAAAAGGTCGAGAAGCGATACAAGGGTTAATTTTAAGGAGCCATTCTGCTTCTCAGTGTTGTATATAAGCCTGGTTTTGGGCACAGCTCTGGGGTAGGGTTCCCTGCAGTCACTTTCTGCCCAGTTGGTTGGTCGTGGCTTCTCTCTTGTATGCCTTCACCCTTTCCTGACTTGCATCAGTAACCACTTTAAAATACCCAGCACTACCTGTATCGTACACTGAAGACCTGATATAGATAGCTCCCAGAATTTTAAAGGCTGAACTAACATGGACCGTACCATTCCCCTTTGGCCCCTTGCATCTGTTGCACACTGACCAGCATCCATTGTTTCTCCCTAAGAGCACATACGAACCCTTTTCTCTTAACTCCATCATTATGCTGCACTCACTGTGTGTCTGAACCATATTTTTCCCTTCTGTCAGAGCGTCACGACGCGCTGTATGTGGTGGGAGCTCTGGATGAAACGCTGGAGCTGAGAGGATTACGATACCACCCCATCGACATTGAGACCTCAGTGTCTCGGATCCATAGGAGCATTGCTGAATGGTAATTTCCCCTGCACACACTGCTTTAGTGCTGATTTGAATTGATTGGCTAAAGCAGGAAGATCACAAATTCAAGTCCTGCCTGGACAGTTTAGCATGACTCTGTCTCAAAATAAAAAGATGGGCCAGGATTTAGCTCATTGGTACTGCGCCTGCCTCACAAACACAAGGTCCTGAGTTCGATCCCCTGTACCAAAAAAATAAAAAAAGAGGGCTCGGGATATAGCTCAGTATTAAGAGTGTCCCTGGAAGCGCAAGGACCCGAGTTCGATTCCCAGTACCAAAAAAAAAAAAAAAGAGTGTCCCTGGGTTTAATCATATGGCAAAAAAAAAAATTTCTGGGTAGCCATTTGTACCAAATACTCATAGATGTGGATCTTTGTGGGGCTTAAGGAAATAAGTAGACCAGCTCATCTTGCGGGTGTTGTTCGTAGTACCGTTCATTCTTCTGAGTCCTGTGGGACAGATCCTTTTTTTGGTACCGGGATTGAACTCAGGACCTTGCACTTTCGAGGCAGGCACCAGAACCACTGAGCTAAATCCCTGGCCCAGATCCTTTTTTTTAAGGACCAACTCTTATAACTGGAAGGGGATAGGAGATCATCTGCCCCTAGGACATCAGTGTGGTATGGTGGGAAGAACCATGACTTGAAGGTCAAAAGACCCACTCTAGGGCCGGGGATTTAGCTCAGTGGTTCCACGGCCTGCCTTGCAAGTGCAAGGACCCGAGTTCAATCCCTGGTACCCCCTCCCCCCAAAAAAAAGACCCACTCTAAAGGCTCAGCTCTCTGCACTACTTTCCTGTCAGTAAAATGCTGTCTCCTACATTCTGATGACAAGAAGGATCAAACGAGCACGTGTCCGGTAAACATCAGTTGGAAGCAGATGGAAGGATTGGTGGTTCAGCCTCCTCCAGTTCCCCTGTCATGGGAGGAATCCCCTTCCCTGATAAAGGATTATCCAACTTAAAATTCCTTGAAATTTAAACTCTGGCTTTTACCTACTGGTTTTGTTCTGGATTCTTGACTATACAAAAATCTATCCAGTCTCTTTCATCCCTGTTGGGTCAGTGTTTCTTTCCCCTCTAAGTAGCCGACAGTTCGCTCAGGCTTTCCAGACACTCCTTCATCTACAGGTGTTATTGCCTTGGTCAGAGTCTCTCCCCAGATCTGAGTAAGACTCTGACTGAGACAAGGTCATCTCTAAGCAGAAGAGTATCCGGAAAGCAGGCAGAGAAGCTGGGTGCCATGGCCACCTTCTAATTGTAGACATTTGACTGTTGTTGTAACACAGTATTGCAGTTTTTTAATGATTGGAATCTTTAAAGAAAAAAATTTTTAACACTGTATAGCCCAAATCAGGTCATATATTCTAATGCAGTAACCCCATACAATGAAAGGTAACTTTCAACTTTTGGGGCTTGTACGTAATAGGGGACACTTATATGGGCACTATGAGCTCATACAGTATGAAGTCAGCCTCTTCTTGTTGACTATAAGAACACTATCATAGTTAAAACGCTTTTGTTGTAAGTAACAAAAACTCTTCCAAAAAGCTTAAGCAGAAAGAATTGATGGAAAAAACACCTGGCTATCTCTGAAGTTCCAGAAAAGCTTTGACTCTTGAGTCTCAGGACAGGCAGGAGTGAGGCCAGGAAGGCAGTCAGGAACTTCTCTCCCACTTTCCAGAGCAGGTGGGTCTTTTCTCTTCCTGCATTCTCTCCTCCCTGAAGGGCTCTTCTCTGTGCTTTGCACCCCTGGCTACCCTAGAATTTTCACATATACATGTCCTCAGCTCAGGTAACCAACAACAACTTTCAATCCCACGGCGACTCCCAGGAGATTGTGGACGACTCAGCTAATCAGCTGTGATCATCTGGGCAGGTCATATAGCACAGGTGGTTAGATCTAGGAGCGAAGGCAGTTCTCAGGGAAAGGGGTGGGAGTCTTGGTAGAGGCTGTAGAAGATGACTGGTCATGGAACAACATGTTAACTGATGCCATTGACATTTCAGTGCTGTGTTCACATGGACCAACTTGCTTGTGGTGGTTGTGGAACTGTGTGGCTCTGAACAAGAAGCCCTGGACCTGGTTCCTTTAGTGACCAATGTGGTCCTGGAAGAGCATTACCTCATCGTTGGTGTTGTGGTTGTGGTGGACCCAGGTGTTATCCCGATCAACTCCCGGGGAGAGAAGCAAAGGATGCACCTCCGGGACAGCTTCCTAGCTGACCAGTTAGACCCCATCTACGTGGCTTACAACATGTAGCCAGCCTTGCAGACAGCGTCCTGAGGTTCACAGAGACTGAAGACCCATGGCGAGGAGCAAGCTTTCAGATGATGTGAAGTAAGCTGAGCTGGCTGTTACATCCTTCATCTCATTCTGTGGGATTCTGCAATCATACAGCGCGCAAGAAAGGGGAAATCTGCAGTGGCAAATGAAAAAAATGTGAACAGTCTGTTAAACCTGAGCTTCAGCAGAGCGTGAGCAGCACGTTTGCATGTTGCATTTTTTTCATCTGTTGTACATATTTGTATTTTTGTCTAATGCCGTTTTAGAATTTTGTAAGGGAGTTTAATGAATTCACGTGAAGGGGTAGCCCGAGTTACACAGATCCCCGCTCTGTACTGTATTTTGCCACTTTCCCATAGCTAGATAGTCTGCCGGTTTTCTTAACATGAAACTACTCAGCTTACTTTCAGTCAACCCATGAGCAAAATTGATAACCCACTGAATATGTGAATTACTTTATATATATAATTCTTGACTGTAAAACATTTTGACCAGTGTTTCAGGCATGTAAATACACTTAATTCAGCTAAAGAATTGAAATTGGCTTATATAATTACAAGAGTAGAAACTGTTCTACTGTGAATTTCATCATTTTCTTAATGTAGTATAATTGATTAGATAACTAAAAAGTGCAAATTGTTAGCAGGTTTTGCTGCACATTGTTTTGTCTTTGTTGGCTGGTGTATTTCATAAACTAAAGCTGCCTATATTTGTTTTTAAAGCTTGCATTCCTGGAATCAGCTTAAACTTCTAAAATTTATCCTGTTTCAATGAGATAAAAATTTGAATTTAAAAATTAAATGTTAAGAAAAAGCTAAAATGCATTAGATCCCACCCTATCCTAAGGAACCACAGAAGCTCGCTCTAGCCCAGTCTTTGAAACTGTCTTTCACATTTAGAGTGACTACAGAAAATTTAGAATTTCCTCTTTTTCCTGTCCTTTGTAAACTGCATCTGCAGTTTATACATAGAGCTTGTCTTTTACTGAAAACCGAGGAGTGTCCCCCATCCCTCAGGTGGTGAGGAGGGCAGGGAGCTCAAAGGCAAGAATGATAGGCTGTAAAATGGGATCGGCCATCACATGGAACTGTAAGGCCAAATAACTGCACATCTCATAACTGACCATTTGGGTTGCCAGAATAGCCAGGCTTACACTGAAATAGGGAAGTCTGACATCTGAAGAAACTCTGTTGAAATAATTAGTGCCTAGGCCAAGCACACTAAGTGTGGGACTGAGTTTGGCCTCCGGCTCAGTTTCCTTTCTTTGATCTGATACTTCATGTATTTGAATATAATTAAATTTTATTATTTTTTTCTTACAGAAATATTTTTAAAAATTAAAACCTCAAAAGTGAAAAGAATTAACTTGTCAAATCAGAATGGTTCTCTTTGGCCCATTCTGATGTGTTGTGTAAATATTTCTTTAGACTATTTTAATAATACATATTATTTACCCCCCTGTAACATCCTGTAAACTAAATGTGTTTTTAAACAATTTGTAGGACTTGTAATTACCCTGAAAATAAGATTTATAAAGCAAAGACCAGGCCCACCTTGAGGCAGTGCCCCGGGGCTGCCTTTGCAGTTTTGTGGCTCAGGGCCACTTTCTCGCTCCTTTTCACATCATCCTCTTTTCCTCCTAGCTCATCCTCCACATTGGGAAGACCTCGCGATACTTCCAGTTCAGATCTCTTTTTCCACATTTTGGATGGAATTAATTTACACGTGATGGGGGAGGTTCTAGGATGTACAGAAAAAAGCGCGTCCATTGGGGCTAATGAAATCCCAGTCTCTAGCGATGGTTTGGTTTGCAGAGAACACAACCCACTTATTTGGGAAGTAATGTTATTAAAACAACTTTTAGTAATTCACTAACCAAAGCAGTGGAACCTGAGTATTAAATAGTTTTATCTCCATAATCCCCAAATTCTAAGAAAAAATTATAGGCAGCATCAGTCCTGAGTTGACTGATAATTCTTATATACACAAGTTAGGTCATCAGTACCCAGGGACTCATTGTCCATCATAAATGTAATAATGTGAGCCACACGTGTAATTTTAAAAATTCTAGTCACCACATTTAAAAACTGAAGAAAAAGGTTATATCAGTTTTAATGTATTTAACTTAACCTAGCATATCAGAAATACTGTTTCAATGTGAAATCAGTATAAAAATTATTAATGAGGTCTTTTACATTTTTTGTATTAACTGTATATTAAATACATCTCAGTTTGGATTAGCTATATCTCAGAGTCTTCAGTAGTCCTGTGTGGCTAATGGCTATCATGTTGGACAGCACAGGCCTATACACATTCCTTCAAGTACAATACTCATCTCAGAGTGTGGCCAGCTCCCATTACGTGGGGCTGATCACCCAGTGTCCTTGTTTCTCAGGCCTCTATCTTTATTTTTTACTTTCTGGCTCATGTATAGCGGCTTTGACTTTTTTGCATATGCCCCAAAGTCACGCTGTGCTATTGGAAAAAGGTAAGCTGAGAGCTGTCTTTGGGGAACCTCATCAGTAACTGGTGAAAAATCTTTGGAGGCAGAGCAGAGTCCTCTCTTAGCCCTAATGGTGTTTGTGGGTCATCTGCATATTTAAGGTCTATCTTTAGGCCTCTCTTAAGGTCTGTTACAGACTTGAGTAAAAATTTATTTTTCTTTTGATGACATAATACTCTGCCCTTTCCTTAAGTGGAAGCTGTGTGGTAGGACTATTTAAGCAGGCCTGAAAGGCCATTTATTTTTTTTTAGGCCATTATTGATTTAAAAAAAAAAAACCCTGCAGCCTTTCCAGTCCTGCAGAACACATCCTGTGTGGGATTTTAGGCTATAAAGGAAGGAAGGCAGTCAACAGCAAGCCCCCATCTTGTTAGAAAGCTTTTGATCTGAAAATTTCTCAACCTCTTTATTTATGGTCCTTAGCAGAAGTAACTGAGGTAGGGCTGGGGATTTAGCTCAGTGTTTCTGCCACCTGCCTCACAAGTGCAAGGTCCTGAGTTCGATCCCTGGTACCAAAAAAAAGAGAAGTCTTAAAAAAGAAGTAACTGGCTGGGGATTTAGCTCTGTGGTTCCATCGCCTGCCTTGCAAGCACAAGGTCCCAAGTTCGATCCCCGGTACCAAAAAAAAAAAAAGAAGTAACTTAGGTAGATCAAGAAGGGGCTGCCTGAGGAAAATTCCTAGGCCCTAGAGATTCTTAGAGCTGCACAAATGCCATCTTGTGCCTCAGTGAGACCCTGGGATGTCCATCTTGCTACTTGCCATTAGGGAATCTATATGATTGTTTTTGTTATGGGGGTGGGGGGTGTCCTAAAGATTGAACCCAGAGCCTTTGCACTAAGCTACATCCCCAGCTTTTTTTTATTTTTTAAGACAGGGTCTCACTAAAGCGCCCAGGCTGGCTTCAAACTTGTGACCTTCCTGCCTCAGCCACTTGAGTGTCTGGAATTACAGGCAGAGACACCATGGCTGGCTTCCTCGAAGTCTTTAACTCCTGCCACATGAAGGGCCCAGTTCTCCCCAGTACCGTACTAAGCTCCTTCCTTCTGCAGTTGTCTCCTCAGGCTGTTATGGGACCATCAGCTGTCAGGATCTTGAGTGTCACTCCTCACTGTAGTCCCTGGGCGATGCTTGCTTATTGCTTTTGTTGAATCAACAAAGGGCCTGAGGCCTTAAGTTTGTATTAAGGTCGCTGCCCCAGGCATGGTGCTCAATTTCTTGGCCAAATAAATTACTTTCCTTAAATATCCAGGAATCTTTTAGACTAAAGCACGAGGAGTTATCACCTCATCCTCAAACTCCAACATGATCTTTGCCTTAGTGGTGTCATTTTTGTTGTCTGCTTTGATGTAAAAGCAAGAGTATTTGGAGCAAGAAGTTGCAGTATTCCAAATACATAATAGGCCTTTTCTTATCATTTATACCACACTTCTGGTTTAGTTATTATAGATGGGCCATTTTATTTGTCCAGAGGAAGAGATTGTAAAGATATAAGAATAATTTTTTAGTCCTAAATGCTGTTTTGTTTACTTTGTGTCAAGATATTTACCCATGTCAAATTCAAACTATAGTACTGTGTAATTATGTATAAAGTTTTTTATTTATTTGAAATTAGACTAGATATACATTTTTAAATTTAACATCTGGCTGGACAGTGTTCTATTAACTCATTGAATGTGTTTCCTTTGTCTTGTGTTAATAAATATTGATGCCTGATTGTGTATTGTGTTTAGTCCTTCACACGTAGAGTACAGGCTGGGAGTTGATAGATTCTGTGTGTGGGGGGAGGTGGGGGACTGGAATGGCACCCAGGACCTTGAGCGAGTTAAGCAAACATCTACCACTGAGCTGCAGCCCCAGCCTGAGAACTGACAGACTGTAGACTTAACTTCAAGCAGTGAGACCCATCATAGCTGGAGTGGACTAACAAAAGTGAACACAGATCCAGAGTCATAAAGGTAAAGGAGGGCAGATTAAGGAACAGTGATAGTACTTGAAAATGAAGGAGGCTGTCAGAACTTTTTGAGGTAACAATTATAGTTTTGTTTCCCTCTTGCCCTTGTGGCATTTGGTAGTTTTAAACTGTTGTTGATACACACACACACACACACACACACAACAAAAAAGCAAAAATCAGCTGGTCGTGGTGGTGCACACTTGTAATCTCAGCATTCTGAAGAGATCGGGCACATTCAGGGTAATATGGCTGTAGACAATCTCAGCATTCTGGGAGGCTGAGACAGGAGGATCCTATGTTTGACCCTAGCCTAGGCAATTTAAGAAGGTGCCATCTCAAAAAGGGGCAGTGGACCTCGCAAGCGCAAGGTCCCGAGTTCGATCCCTGGTACCAAAAGGGGAAGGCGGGTGTGCTAAGCATGTAGCTCAGTGTGAAAGCCCTGGGTTCAGTCCCTAAACCTAGTGAGGGGGCACTATTGATCATAAACTAGTTTTTTTCTAATCTGTAATTAGACTGGATTTCAGCTTTTCCAAAAGTGATACTTCATTTGTTCTTCTGTTTCCTGCATTTGATAATAAGAAAAATATAACCCCTAACCTACCAGATGTCAGGCAGAGTTTATGTACACTGAAATGGAAGAATGAATTCCAAAGGACAAAGGGGGTTAAGAGTAGGGCCAGGGACGTAGCTCAGTGGCGCCCCGCCTGCCTGGCAAGTGCAAGGTCCTGAGTTCAATTCCAGGTGCCGGAAAACAAAAAGTTTAAGAATAGAACAGGTTTATTGGGGAGTAGGAATAGTTCCTGAGGGGCAGGAAGTGTTTCAGAAATGGGCTATTCCCTTTGTCAGGGCGGTTTAGGTAGCAGAGTCACAGTGTAGGTTCAGTGTGGGTCAAACCCTAACCAACCGATAACCAGGATTACAAGTATAGCTCCTTAGCTGATACTGATCCAATGGGAAAGCAAGCACATAGCAAGGTCCTATGGCTGACATCATCGATCTTGGCTCATTTATGACCCCTGAGACAGGAACAAATTTAGGAATGGATGGGTCCAGACGTCCTGGTCACTCACCCGGTTATCTGATGCATTTCTGGACTTAATGGACTGGTTGGTAGTCAGTATGGTATAATCTTCCCTTTAGGGAACTGTGCCAGTCCAGCCATGGTGACTTTATCTTGAGGCCTTGCTTGCTTCTGTTGTGCCTCCAGCCGCAATTCCTATGTCTTTAATCTTCTGCTGACTTCCTTGAGAGCCCAGTCTCTCTCCAACTATATTAATTTCTAACTTAGCTGCCTATAATGCTTTCTGGAAACTTGATAGAAGCCCATCTAATTGTGCATGTTCTCAGATGCTAAAACTGGTCCTTGAGTCATGGCCCAAGCTCTTTTGGAAACTGAGGACATTTTATCATTTAGCAGACATGTATTGAGTGTCTATCCACTATGCACAAAAGGACTAAGCAAGGGTACAGGCTTTGAAAGGAAAAGACAGTTATGGAGACTTGAACCAGGGTCCCATCACTAAGGATCTTGTGTATCATGCTAAGAGTTGGACTTACATTCCATAGGCGAAGGGAGTAACATGCTTAGATTTATAACATAGAATATGAGTGATCATACAGAAAAAGCATTGGAGGGGGTAGGGAGAAGGACAGGAAATCAGAGGCAGGGATACCAGTTGGGAGTAGTAACTCCAGTAATAGAATGCTGAGTTTGTTTTGTTTTGTTTTGTTTTGGTATTGGGGATCAAACTTGGGTCCTTGTGCTTGTGCAGCAGGCGGCGAAACCACTGAGCCAAATCCCCAGCCCAAGTGCTGAGATTTGAATGTGCCCTGCAAAATTCAGGTGTTGAGACTTGATGGTCAGTGTGGTGGTTTTAAGAGAGTATTAGCCTATAAGGGTTCTTCCCTCAAGAATGGGGTTAAAGCTCTTCTAAAAGAAACTTCACAGAGCAGCATTAAACTGGTGTGCTCTTAGGTCCTGCGGTGACACAGAGTTCCGGTCTTCCAGGGAATGCAGCAGTAAGGTGCCATCCTGGGAGGGAAAGTAACTTTCCCAGTGCCACCTGCTCTTTGATCCCGAACTTCTCAGTCTCCAAAACTGTAAGCAATACAGCTCTTCACACACTGAGCAGTGCCACTCTTCTTTATAAACTAGTTGGCTAGATTTTTTTTTTTTTTTTTTTGGTACGGGGATCGAACTCGGGTCCTTGTGCTTGCGAGGCAGGCAGCGGAACCACTGAGCTAAATCTTCGGCCTGTAGATGGCTAAATATTATAGCAGAAAGATATGGAGCAAGAACACTAAATAGGTAAGAATGGAGAAGACAGGATGTGGAAAAACTTTGGAAACATTTCAACCACTGAATATTCAGGCTAAGGAGGAGGAATCCAAAGTAATACCGAGGTTTCTGGCTTGAGGGTTGGGTAGATGTGGAGCCATTAACCAAGAGCGGGAACAAAGGAGGAGAAAGTACAGTATTCGGGAAGAAGATGCCATGTTCCAGCCTAGTCATGGTCTATATCCAGTGAAACTAGGCTTCAAAAATTAAGGTGAGGGCCGGGGATGTAGCTCAGTAGTGCCTCCACCTGCCTCGAAAGTGCAAGGTCCTGAATTCGATCCGAGGTACCAAAAAAAAGGGTGAAGCCGGGCGTGGTGGTGCACACCTGTAATGCCAGCACTTTGAGGCAGGAGGATCACCACAAATTTGAGGCCAGCCTAGGCTACATAGTGAGCTCAGGGACAGCCTGATAGACAAAATGAGACCCTGCCTCAAAAAAAACACTGAACTCTCAATCTGATAAAGACCATCCATGGAAATCTGCTAACAACCCCATCCCTTAACAGTGAAAAACAGTGAGTGCTTTCTTTCCAAGGTTGGAAACTAGGAAAGGGCTGTTCTCACTTCACTCAACACTGTACTATCGGTTCTGTCCAGGGTTGTGAGGCAAAGAAAAGGCCATGAAGGGCCGGGGATGTAGCTCAGTGGTGCCACTGCCTGCCTTGCAAGCACAAGGTCCTGAGTTCGATCCCCGTATCAAAAAAAAAAAGCTATCCACAGATAAAATTTACTAGTATGCAGATAATCTTAGGGGGACACACACCCACACGCACACTAATTATTAGATGAATGACTTCAGCGAAATTGGCTAGTTGATTTATTTATGCATTTATTTATTTGGCTTTTGGGGGGTACAGGAGCTCAAACTCAGAACCTTGCACATGCGAGGCAGGCGATGGAACCACTGAGCTAAATCCCCAGCCCTTATTTGGCTTTTTGAGACAGGGTCTTGCTATGTAGTTCAGACTGGCCATGAACTCACTGTGTAACCCAGGCTGGCCTTGAATTTGCACTGATCTCCTACCTCATTCTCCTGAGTGCTGAGATTATAGGTGTGTGCCATCATGCCTGTGGTTTTTTGTTTTTGTTTTTAATTTTTATTAGTACATGTTTGCAGAACACAATGATTACATTCATTGTGGGGAGGTGGTACAGGTACATTGTGGAGAGCGGTGTCAGCCAAAGGGGCTCCATTTTGAATCTTACCCCCCATTGTATAGAGCAAGGAGACGATGTTAGGAGGAACCGCGTCCTTGCCGAGTTAGATTGCCCTGGAACGTGATGAACGTTCTGTAACCCCGAGAAACAAGGAAGCCCATGAGGGTGGGGAATTCCCAAAGAACTAGAAAACAAGGAAGCAGGTGTCTCTGGATGAGGGTCGTGATTAACAACCAAACTCACCTGCTGTATAAGAGAGGAGAAAAGTAAACTTGGGCGCTCGGTCTCTGGGAGCCCTCCCGACTCTATCTCTGTGTCTTTCTTTTTCTTCATCCTCACTCCCCCATTCAGGTGCTGTTCGACAAGTGACGGCGGGCTCCTTCAGTACATAAACATCTTCATTCATTCACTTTGTCCTTGGGTCTGTTGTTTTGGGGGGAGTCTAATTTTTTTTGAGTTCTTTATGAATTCTAGATGTTAATCCTCTGAGCAGTGGCTGGCCAAATTTTTTTCCCATTCTGTAAATTGTTTCTTCAGTCTGTTGGTTGTTTCCTTTGCTGTGCAAATCTTTTTAATTTGATAGGATCTCATTTCTTGATTCTTCATGTTATTTCTTGTGCAGTTGGATTTTGTTCACAAAGTCCTTGTTTGTATCCTCAAGAGTTTTACCTATTTATCTTCTAGCAGATTTGGTGTTTATTTTAATATCCAGGCCTTTGATCCATTTTGGCTTTACTTTTGTACATGGTGAGAGACATGGGTCAGATTCAATCTTCTGCACGTTAAGCAAGGTTGCAAAATACAAGAGCAATATTAAAAATCAGTTTTATCTCTATTCTTTAGTAGTGAATACTCCAAAATGAAAAATTTTTTTAAATCCATCTAAAATATAAAAGGTGGCAGGCATGTTGCTGCATGCCTGTAATCTCAAGAGGCTGAGGCAGGAAGATTGCTGCATGTTCAAGGCCAGCCTGAACTACATGTCAAAAGGAATGAAATACTGAACAAATTTAATCAAAGTGCAAACTCATACCGTGGAAATTACAAAACATTTTTGAAATTAAACAAGATGTAGCTGGGCATGGCAGTGCATGCTTGTAATCCCAGCCAGCCCGGAGGATCACAAGTTCCAAGGGCCAGGGATTTAGCTTAGTGGTTCAGCCGCCTGCCCTGCAAGCGCAAGGTCCTGAGTTCAATCCCCCAAACCGAAAAAAAAAAAAAAGATCTAAAACAAGTTTCAGACTACCCTGGGGAACATAGGCTCTG